CCAGCTATGAGTTGGTTCCAACTTGACAGCACATAACAAAAACAGTTCTTACATGGGTTTTCAATGGAAAGTCTTTATTCCAGCTTGTCGCATTTGTCTTCACTGAGCATCAGAGTAGAGCATCTTTTGATCAAACAAGCTAAGAAGTTTTATCAAAACTAATAAGAGAGGCTAGACTGTAGATCAATTAAAGTCGTGTGAGTCACATCCCATTGTTTCTGAGTTAAAGATCTTTTTTTCTTAAGGATATTTTTTAAATTTCTTAGAAATAGTTGGTGGTTTGGTTTGGGTTTTTTTCTTTTTTTTTCACTTGGAGTCTTTTCATAAATAAATATCTTTCAGTGATTCTTTTCCTCATCTCTGTTTTTGTACTTGAATAGAGAAGTAAAATAGATTCCAAAAATTGACATAGACTCACTTGCCAAAAACACAGAATAGAGATGTACCTAAAAGGCTTATGCAGATGTTGGAGAAATAATATTTGGGACCAGAAGCAGAAATAGCAAAATCATGGGAAATAAGAACAATTGAAAGCCAATAGAGATACAGAGAGGCAGCAAAAGTGGAGCTGAGTCAGTGAGCCTGTATCATTATCAGAGATTCCATCTGCCCTCACATTTGTAATTGGCAGTCAGTTACAAAATTTTTTGACAGGTGAATATCCAGACCCCTCTCAGCACTTAATTGTTTACCCCTATTCTGGCCAACTCTGGAACTCTAAAGATCATTTATGTTGTTGGGGTTTTTTTAATTAATTTTAATGAAAATTTACAGAGACTTAGAGTTTCCAGTGATGCATTGTTGCTCTTTTCTCATTGCAAAACAATGAAAAAGTTTTACTTTTCAAGGAGAAAAGTGAATTGCAGGAGAGGGGGTGGGCAAGAAGATCCTTTATGTAAAGTGAGGAAGGCCCAGAGTTAAATAGCTAACCATAGTAACTAGTGGCCTGTCCTGTGAGAAAGGGTTCCATTCACCCTGGATTTTTATACAGGCAGTGCATGTAATCCCTTAATGTTTAACAGGTTAGGGTCTGGGGATCAGTTTTCCTAGATGTAAATCCTTGCTCCATTTCTTAAGTTGTCTAGTAATCTTAGTTTAACCTCTGTAAACATCCGAGCTACCAAAGTGGGATAGTAATAGTAAAAGATAATTTAGATCATGACACTCTCCTAAGCAGAACCTGCAGTGGCTTCTCCTATCACCTCCATACTCCTAACAAAGCCCCCAGATAACCTTGCCTTTGCTTATTCTGTCGTTTGATTTAGTCCCTTAGCTAGTACTTACCATCATATCATATTACCTTTTGAATATTTTCCCTTTGTTATCACTCTCTTTCCACCACCTCCTCGGCTGTTTACAGCAGAGATCTTCCCTATTACATTAATTTCTATCTTTGTAGAACCTACTACAGTGCTGGGCACAAAATGAGTGCTCAGTAACAGTCTGTCAATTTGTTTAGTGAATAAGTACACCCTGTGACTTGTGAAAGGAGCTGTGATGTAGTAGTGATTAAGCACTTGATTACTAACCAAAAGGTTGGTGGTTAGAATCTGTCACCCACTCTATAGAAGACCTGGC